TGATCAACAAGTTCTCTGCCTTTTCATTTTGCTTTTAGATATCGACGAATGTGCAGATCTCAAGGCCAATCCCTGCGATGGGGTTTGCACGAATATACCAGGGGATTATGTTTGCTCCTGTCCGCCGGGTTATACGGGAGATGGAATGAGACATGGAATTCCTTGTAGAAAGGACAGTTTCATTAAACGCTATCGGCCTTGGATAATCGGTAACATCCCCTTCCCCTTTCCTTGTATCTATATATAACTGTACAATGTTTCTCCAATTCATATCTCAACTTTTCCATCCACTCGCTACAAATAATCTATCTCCCCATGTGGACAGTAGGAGCCAGTACGGGGGATTCGTCGCAAAACCTTAGATAAAGGCCAATTACCCAGATGGCCAGCCCATTTCAAAACCCAAAATAAGCCAACCTGACAATAAACGAAAATTCAGCCACATGGGTCTATTATTTTCATGTATAATGGATGGGATGCATAAGGGTAATACGGACTGGATCGACAGCTGGTGGAGAGTTGCCCCGGTTGTTTAACAGTCTTGCTTGGCTATATAATCCTTTGGATATGTTTGGTTTGACAGAAAATACAAGAGTTGGCTAATCATCTTGCTTTTTCCCCTCTCTGTTTCTTAGCCATCAATGGTCGGATCTCCGACCATCAGTTTTATCTTCTCTGGCGACAGTAAGAGCAAAAGATGCTCTGGTTTTCTTCACTAATTCGATCTCTGTGTGTTTTGCTATCTAAAACATCATCTCTGTCCTTCCCTTCTCTACTCCATTGGGTATCAAGGGTCAGATTTCTAACCGTATTTCCTTGCTATCTTCAACACCAAATGGTGTTGGATCTGCTAAGCATAAATGTGTATTGTTGCAAATCTAACAAGAAATCGTTTCCTCAATGAGATATTGGTCTCAACAACCAAATACATGGTGCCAAAAATTAGAAAATAAATTTTCTTATTCAATTGTTTTTTTCTATTCAAGGAACTCTCTCCCCAATGCAACATACAGGCAAATTGATTAATTTAGAAGTAGATTTATCTTAGAGATTTTGTTACTTATTCAATTGTTAACTATATTCATTTGTCTTTTTTTTTTCTTGAAATGGCATATATACTAGGAGGGACCCATGCATGTGATGCACAAGAAAATATGAAAGATTGAATAATTTTATTTACTATTAATTAATTAATATATTAATAATCAAAATTTGTCGTGAATTAATTAAAACTATTCAAAGTTATTCTTAATATTTAAAATTTTTTTATTTAATGTTGATTTATAGAAAAATTATTGTTAATTTAATATGAACAGATATTTTTTAATAAATTTAATTTTATTAATCATTTATAGTTATTTTAATAACTGTTATATTTTGAAATAAAATTTTGATTGACTTTAAATAAATAAAAATAATTACAAAAGCTAACATTTTTTAGTTTCACTAATAATTAACAATTATATAGGAATGTTAACAGGGCGGGGCACCCCATCCCGTAGCCAAGACACTCTACTCCATCCATCACCCCTTCCCAGAGTCAGGCAGGTTCAGGGCAATGCACCAACTCCTCGTTAGGGATGGGAAATCCTCGATATAAATATATATATACACTAAATCACAACAATCTAGAAACTTTCTCCTTTTTTTTGAATTTTTTTATTATTATTCCATGTCATTTTGAAACAACAAATGAGATGCTCTCCTTCCCCACCTAAAATTTCTTGTAAACTACTCCCCCGCTATCCCCCACTTTCTCCTCAATTATCTCTAATTTGTATTTATCTTTTAAATTATCTCTAATTCCTATTTATCTCCTAAATTATCTCTAATTTGCAAAGAGTTTCTCTCCTAAATTATCTCTAATTTGTAAAGAGCTTCTCTCCTAAATTACCGCTAAATCCTATTTATCCTCTCCCCCACTTTTTATCTATATCTATCTAAATAAAGGTTGAACTAAAAAAATTTAAAAATGATTTAAATATTATAACAAATTATATAATAACTTTAAAATATTTATTATAAACAAAAGATAATTATAATAGATTTAATAATATTCATACTATTAATAATTTTATCTTTTCACAAAAATTCATCACAAAATTATGTAATAACTAATAACAAATAGATAGGGGTGCTCACGGTTCGATTAATCAAACCAGGGTTATCAGTTTTTAAAAAATCAGTAATCGAAACTGAAATTGAAGCCGATTGATTAACCCGTAGACCAGTTCAGTCAACCGTCGATTTGGTTTGTCGGTTTTTCAGTTTTTTATTATTTACAATATTTATTATAGAAAAATATATAAATATATAATAAAATACTAAATATATATATATATATATATATATTATATTATATTTTAAATAAGAAATATTATATTATATATTATAAATATATATATTTATATATAATACATATTTATTAATTTATAATGTATAGAAAATATAAAATATATAATATATAAATATATATAAATACATGTAAGTTAACTGTCAGTTTTCTATTTTGATTAACCAAAACCAAACTAATACCTTCAAATATTATATTATATATTTGATTAACCTAATTTTTGGTTCGGTTTCAAACGATTTTTTCAGCTGATTCGGTTTTTCGATTTTTTTTTTCCTCACCCCTACGAATAGATGCCGATGGTCTTTAGTGGCGTTAATGTACTGTTCGTTTCCTTCCTCATGTAAAGTGGGACCCACCCATGTATTGGGGTCTTTTGCYCAACAAGTGAGTAATTTGAGAAAGGTAAAGACAAATTATCTTATCTTAGTTACATGTTAAAAATCATTTAATATTCTAATTCGATATTCAATTTGTTTAACTATAATGGGATATTTGGATCCACTATAATTGAATCAAACCACAGATTGAATTAGATCAATATCCGATGTATTTGCATCCCTCTAGACACTACCATTAATTTTAATTAATTAGTCAAGTCAATATAACTGTAAGTAAAGTTGAAAATTCGTTCCAATACAAGAAATTAATATAAGACAACAATATATTAATGAAATATAAATATTAAACAAATAATCAAAATAGTAATTAATATTTGAGTAACTACATTAATAAATGATGTCTAAACCTAATTAATTAATTTGATTTTATGGCAAATAATCCATAAACCATTTATTAGGGACATCTCTTGAAATAAGTTATAATTCTGTCTGAACATGAAAATCATAGGAACAAGGGCATATTATTTTTTCAAGAAAGAGCAATTCAAAAGTGATTACTCCCACTAATAAAATAATGAAACTTTATCAATATGTGTCTCCCAATTAATAAATAGTATGAGCTTCAAATGGTAGTTACCTTCATGCTTAAAAATGTTAGTTACTTCCACTAAAAAAACTCTTTTCAAATAATGTAAGATCCATGAAGTGGGTTATTATATACAAATCAAACTTCATTTAATCTCTTAAATTAAATAATAAATTTATATACTGAAAAATATCAAATAAAATAATAACCTAAATTTACAACATAAAAGGTGGGTGTCAAACAAAATTTATCAGAGTACATGAATAAAAAATATCAGAAAACAGGGCCCATAGTTAGTATGAGGGTCATTCTCTAGTAAGTGTTTTAAAAGCCAACTTGGAAATGAAACCGCCTTTGTGTTTGAATGAGGGGTCATCAATTTGGTGTCTTGATCAAGTGGACTAATCCATGATGTCATATATATAATTAAAAAAAATAGTAATAACATAGAAAGAAAATTAATTACACAATAACCTAGTCAATTGGTTCAGCAGTTCGACTGCGGACTGGGTCAACAGGTTGTTGTCCAAGCAACATTTTTGGCAAGAAAGCAACTCACGGTGAAATTTACCCAAAGATGTGTCTGGGTGGTGGATCAAATGGTCTGACCGCTTGGTTTAACCATGGGTTATGACAAACTGAATTAGATTGATCTGAAATCTTAAACGACRATCAAATAAAATCTTAAGGGACTTTCCACCCCAACATAAGCTGAGAGGAAGGTTTTTTATTTTAATTTAATTATGTATGAATGCATGTATGTATGTATACATTATTTGTTGAGTAAAAGCTTCACTATTTGATTTTTCTTATTGTGTAGGTGTTGGCTCTAGTTTGGCTCTACTGATAGCAGTCTTAGCTAGCATATGCTTTTACCAATTACACAAAAAATTGAAAAGTAAAAAAATCAAAGAGAAGTTCTTCAAGCAAAATGGTGGCTTATTATTGCAACAACAAATATCTTCAGAGGAGGGAAATGTTGAGCAAGCCAAAATATTCCATGCCGAAGAGTTGGAGAAAGCAACAGATCACTATAACGTGAACCGAATTYTTGGCCAAGGGGGTCAAGGTACAGTATACAAAGGTATGTTAACCGATGGAAGAATTGTGGCAATTAAGAAGTCTAAAAAAGTGGATGAGAGTCAAATTGAACAATTCATCAATGAGGTTGTTATACTCTCACAGATTAATCATAGAAATGTGGTTAAGTTGCTAGGCTGCTGCTTGGAAACAGAAGTTCCTCTACTAGTTTATGAGTTCATTCCTTGTGGAACCCTTTTCCATCATATCCATGATCAAAGTGACAACATGTCATGTACATGGAATAATCGATTAAGAATTGSTACAGAAGTTGCAGGAGCACTTTCTTACTTACATTCAGCAGCTTCTACACCAATATATCACAGAGATGTGAAATCTACAAACATACTCTTGGATGATAAATATAGAGCCAAAGTTTCAGATTTTGGAACTTCAAGGTCAATTGCAGTTGATAAAACCCATTTAACCACTGCAGTACATGGGACCTTTGGGTACTTGGATCCTGAGTACTATCAATCAAGTCAATTCACAGAGAAAAGTGATGTTTATAGTTTTGGAGTAGTTCTTGTAGAGCTTTTGACTGGAAAGGAGCCAATTTTTTTATTGAGACCAGGAGAACAGAGAAGCTTAGCCACTTATTTCCTAACTTCAATAGAGGAGAACCGTCTCTTTGAGATTCTTGATGCACAAGTGGTAAAGGAGGGTGAAAAGGTAGAAGTTGAGGCAGTTGCTTACCTTGCAAAGAGGTGCTTGAATTTGAATGGGAAAAAAAGACCAACAATGAAGGAAGTCACTATGGAGTTAGAGGGGTTGAGAATATCTAAAGGCCAAGTATTTGTTCAAGAAACCCATGAAGAAGTGGAGTGCTTTATAAGACAACCATCAAACCTATGGGATACTGGTTCAACTTCAACTAGATATGGAAGTCTAGAGAATAGTGTTGGATTGCCGTTGGATGATAAACCACTATTGCATAACACATCATCTTATTCTTGCTGAGTTGGTGTATGAAAATTGGTAATGTTTTATTTGAAGAATAATAAGGATACAAACTAGTCAAACTCATGGCTGCTCCAAATGCATCATTTACTAAACATCAGAATGTTTTTGTGGGCCAATGTGTTACATTATTTTCACCCACTAAGGCCCACACGATGTTTCTGATGAGCGGTATGTGATGTACCTCTAGCAGCTAGAACCTTGACTCGCTTGTTGCATTAGGCACTGTTTGTTTAATAACTATTGCTGAATTGACTGAACTGAAATGCTTATTTCTTTTGGTGGACAAAGCAGTATATTCAGTTATTTATGTGTAGAAATTTGCCAAAATGTCTGTACCAAGTAGTAAATTCAAAAAATCGTTAGATTAACTCAATGAGGTTTTAGCACCACCACTGCTAATGAAGAGGTTAAACCATTATGAGAAGATAACTGATTTAGATTTTCGTACCTGTTTAATTTGAGGAAATGCTTATTGTGTGCATATTGCAACTAGGGCTGTCAATGGGTAAGGTCTACCCGACTGACACAACTGAACTGATCATGGTGGTTCTGATTCTGTACTTTTATCCCAATTAATAAATGGGTCAAGATCTTCTTGCTGTTCCAAATCAATTTGGAACTGATACAACTGCTAGGGAAACCTCGATTTGGCACCTTGGCAATTGAGGGAGACCTCGGTTCAGAACCTTGGCTGCTTGAGAGACCTGCAATCAAAGGTAGCTGAGCTTGAACTTCCGAGCTTTTGACTTGAGCCGAGCTCGAGCACTCGAGCTCAAGTCTCTAATTCGAATCGAGCTCGAGCCTGATAGTTTATGAGTGAGCCTCTACAACACAGGGCCCCCTCCGCTAGTTTATTTATTTATTTAGAGCTGTCTGGTTTTCTACATTTCTTCAGTAGTCAAAACAAAGGAGAAGAATTAGTGTATATAAGTTATCTAATAGTTTGGCTGCAGTAATGAAAATCTAAGAGTCACTACATAAATAATAAAAAGGTTTTTTTTTTTTTCTTCTTGAGAGATAGGCATATACAGAGGAAGCACTCTAAGGAGGACTATTTATATAAAGATACAGTTATCAGCCATCTGGATTGTAATAACAGATGGACTGGTACATGTTAATGCTAACATTTGGCCTAGATGGACCACATTGATTTTCTTGTGCAGATTAAAACATCTGCATGAGAGATACAGATAATAATCAACTCAATGAGAGAGTAAGTTGTAACATGATATTAGAAGCAATCACTGCTAAGGAAATGGAGAACTTAAACCCTCATCAGAAGTTAATTGGTGAAGGTTCTGGTGCCTCTTGGAGGAGACTGTTGACCTGAATAAATGCCTCTTTTGAAGATGATGAAGAGTCCCTTTGGCATAGAGGCTGCGTAACAATGGTGTTGCCTTCTCATTGAACTTGAGTATAATGAGGAATAGGATTCTGTAAGCTATTAGTATGAGTATAACAATGGAAAGGTCCCACCATTTGGAGTGATCCAGTTGAATCCCTAACATCTTTTGGATGATATCCTCACCCTTCAGCTTTGGTTCACCAGGCGAGGAAGGGTAGAATTCAAGCCCAATCAGATCATTCTTGTATGCACCCTGATTCATACATTTTGAAACAAAAAATTCACATCACCTATTAACCATCAGCATTCCCAACTAACTGCCACAAGGGCATTGATGATTGATGACTTCTGAACTAGATTATTCACTATTTCATTTATTTRAGAACAATTCAATGGATTGCAAGGTCATGACTATAGATTCTGAGTGAATAATTTGTGCAGAAAAGGAAATAGGATTAACCTATAAAATGCTTTGCTTTGGTCATCAATGGTTCCACATTTGTAGTTTTCCCTGCTTGTAGTATTCATTGTAATCGTATAAATTAACAAAAATGAGTTCCAATATTTACCTGTAATGCCCATGAACAAAAATTCACATATGAAATCGGGTAGCGCCAGAAGGGCTTGGGAAGATCACGAAGCAAGCGGAAGAACCCAGATGTCATCATCAGAATTGCCTAATAACCATTGAGACATTATTATAATGAGACCACAACAGCCATAGGAATCATGATGACAATGAAGAACACAAAGCTTTAGGGTTCTGATACTTACAATTATTCCAGCTCCAGTTATGACTCCCAACAAGAAATTGGGAACCAATGATGCAACAACCATCATGCAACTCTCTATGACAGAAATACAGCTGAAGACAGCAATGCAGAAGTAGGCAAAGTGGGAGAAGCCTGGATGATACTTCACCATGCAATATATTATGGTTCCACTGGCAAATGACATTGCAAACAAGAAAGGAAATGATGAAAGGAAGTTGGATAGAATGAAAACAGCATTCCCATAATGTCCATTGAGCCTCTCTCGGTAAAAAACCTGTTAGAGAAATTTTAAGGCATTAACCAAAGCTCTATGTAACAATGTTTCCATGTTTCTTTTTCTGATTTGTACAATGAATTGTGTGAGATTAGTTACCTTCATTTCTTCAATGAAAGATGGGAAACCTCCAATGGACATGAAAGTCATGTAACCCACAATGAATCCACCACTTGACCCTCTAGCAAGTATTGCAGAATAGCTGGTACCTACATCATAAAAGATGGTACCAACGCACATGGATACCAAAATATAGACTACGATCCTTAACCAGTAATATCCAATATCTCTAGACATGTTCACAGAAGACCTTCGTGTCAATGTTGTGAGCTGTTTCCACCAGCTCGCTTCACTTCCACTGTATGGTTCTATGATCGGCCCTTCCTGCATTTACAATTTGATATTGAAGGTTACCCACAAAGCTGTTTAGACTTCAAAATTAGATTGTCAAAACAATTATATGTTGGCAATATTGCATACATTTGTTTTCTTACTAGAATCCCTCTTAACAGTGTAATGAAGTTTTTATTCCATTAAGGCCTACTGTCTATCAATTCAAGCATATTAGCATATATACACCAAAGAAGGAACAGATCATATTCCATATAGGAAAACCATATGATAGGCCTGCTTTTCTATGGCTTGAGAAACCTACAATATGTGTGATTTCATGAATCCGTTTCCTTGCCCTTATTGCATATTTTGAGCACTTGTATTTCTGAATGAGTACCCCTTTGATCTCTGAAGTTGGAAGGTTCCTGAAGGGATCAGATGTAGTAATTTCCTGTAGCAAACATGAAAAAATAGATATAAACAAATTAAAAACATGAATCTGAAGTTGGTATATTCATTCTGAGACCCTCCCAAACACTAAAACTGCAAACTGAGAAGAACTGGAGATCACTTCAAACCTAGAGAACAATGAAATTCGGAGGTTTGCTATGTTGATAAAATGTGAATTTGATGCCATAGACTACACACCTGGGTTTGAAATCCCTCTTCAACTTCTAACATGGTAGCCGCTAACCTGCTTGCCTGCCAAGATTAAAAAGAAAAATGGAAAAAAATCAGGAAATATTAAAACAGGGGTGTTAAGAAACAGGCTCAATTCAGCTGTTCGAGTGAAGAAGAAATGTAGAATTTAAAGCTACCACATACAAGGATTCTCTGAGATCCGATCAGAGTGGCAGTTACAACGTCGAAGTCAGAATTTATACAGCGAAGGAAGTGATCAGAAGGATTCCTTCTACTAGGACAAGGAAATCCAGCTTCAGCAAAGAACTGTTGCAGCAAATAACGAAATTAGACTCCCACGTATTTCTAATATCACCCCAGATATACAGGGCCATTTCCATCCATGAAAAGAAATTAACCAACTTTGTAGAGTACCTGCACGGCCAACTTTGCTTCTCCAAAATAAACAACTTCTCCACCTGAAAGGAGGAACAAATCGTCGAACAGTTCAAAGACTTCGCTACTTGGCTGGTGGATGGAGGAGACAACTGTTCTTCCATCATGGGCTATATTTCTCAGAGTTTGAATCACAAAGAAAGCCGAAGCACTGTCGAGTCCACTAGTGGGCTCGTCAAGAAACAAGAGACGAGGGCGTGTAAGGATCACGAGTGCAATGCTTAGTCTCTTCTTCTCTCCACCACTGATACCCCTCAAATGCCAGTTCCCTATCAATTTGTCTGCACATTCTTGGAGACCCATCTCCATGATTGTGCCGTCTACCACTGCATTTATCTCTTCTTTGCTCATGGTAGTAGGAAGCCTCAAATGAGCTGAGTACGTGATTGTTTCTCTGACAGTGAGAGTCCCCATTAATACATCCTCTTGAGTCACATAAGCCTGAAATTTCACACACAGAGGACACAGAACATATTCTTAGCCAAAAATTGGTAAAACAAGAGAACATAGATCACCATTTGTATTAATTAATGAAGTTTCACACTCACAGCTACACCATAGTCTAGCCTTCTCTTCTTCCCATTGAGGAGAACATTTCCAGTCATAATTACATTTTTTGAGAGTCTCCCTATTCAAAGGTCAAAGTTCATTAAAATAGAGAAAGCAGTAGCAACTGAATTACTGAACTAACAACAAATGCRTAAATTAGATATCTTGCTAGGCTCCTTCCTGGGATGGAACCTAGCGTTGTCTGAACGAAACAAATCTAATGCAGCACTCAGCTTGCTCGTAGAACAGTTCAGAACGAGTGGCATGGTCCATATCAAAATGTTGATGACAACGTATGAGCTTTTTGTTTATGATTCAGACTATTTTGAAATATTAACCAATTTCAAGTAAGGAAAATAAACAATTTGCAGGGAAAATCCTACTTTGCAGTGTTTGATGTAAATGCCCATGGAAAATGGGAAAATGTTAGGCCGAGTATAAATGCATATGATTTACCTGCCAATTTCATTTTTACCGGTGTAAAACTGTAAATGCATACGGTGAAAATAGGCTGAGTGTATAGCTGTACAAGGGGCTGTGGAAAAATCCAGTCATAATAACAATGTCCTATACCATAGAAAATGAGTGGTTGTGGATCACATGTATTTAATGACTGGCGTAGTTCATTATCATTGTTCCACAGTCTGCTACACAATCATTGCCTTCAGCTAACCCGAACTCCTTATATCAATAAGAATGGAGGTAAGAGAAGGCTTATTTGTTTGGGAGTGAGATGGGGAGCAAAATAATATAGGATAAAAAGTACAGTTTTAAATCACTTTATACGAGAGAGAATTGAATGTAGACAGAAGGTGGGGTAAATTTTGCATCACTTTTTTTATATGCAAAATTAACACTGTCAATGAGTGCAAATAGGACAGAAAGTACAAATTTTGCATTAAATGGGAGTGTGAATCATAGTTCCAAACAAACAAAAGCAAAAGTGAAGCAAAAGTAAACTGGGTGCAAAAACTTGTATCCAGTTCAAATTTGCACTGCAATTAAAAAAAAAAATCTAAGGCTGTGTTTGGTTGCAGTGCATATTTATTTGAAGTGATGTAAAACTATGACAATGCAAATGTTTTGGGTGTAAATTTTGATTTATTTTTGTTTCAAATTTTACCTTATTTTGTTTGGTTGCAATACAAATGAAGTAAAATAAAGCCTAAAGCAGAATAAAGTAAAATCCGACACAAAATTAAACCAAATTTTGCATGTCTTTTCATTTACATTCCCATACATCTGTACTAGTGCAAATAAAATTGCACTGCAACCAAACAGCCAACTTTTTATTTCTCTCTGATTTTTACAAAACCAAACATAGCTTTGAACTAGTTAGTCCAAAAAACAAGAATGTACCCTTTTGTGAAAAAATATGTTATTAAGAAACATTGAAACTTTGAACTCCTTCTAACACTTTGGGGTAAGGTTTTTAAAATCGAACCAGACAACGAACCAGTCAGGGGTCTGATTCCCGGGGCGAATGGTTCGACCATTTGAACTGAATAGACGGTTCATTCTGACAAAAAAATAAAAAATAAAAAATAAAAAAAAACAACCAAACCATTGAACGGTTCAACTTCTCAGATCAGCAGTTTACTGACCAAATCAACGGTTTTAATAACAGTTCTGGGTTAAAACAGAACCAGTTACCTGACCGGTTCCCTGTTTTTCCGATCCGGTTTTAAAAACCATGCTTTGAAGAAACACAAAAACCAAAGCGGGTTATAGAAATAGCGTAAAGTGGAGGTGCAACTTGGTGGGCTCGGATTGGGCTTTCCTTAAAATTTGAATGAGTCCGGCCCTAAAGCCCAAGCACGAAACAGTATAATCAAGTTGCCCCTCAACTTGTCAACTTGTGGGGCAGGTAATACGCACTGATTTTATGATTTCTATGCTTAGTGTACACAGATTCCCATATCGAATGGATGGTTTACAAGTGGCAGTAAATGATGGGTAAAGTGTGGAAGATCTCAGATTGACCTGTTTAGTAGACTTTTTTTTCCAATACATTCTTATGGCAGTTACATAGCTGTACTACTAGGGCCCAGGCCTATTAAATGGATGGGCTAAACCCAGCCTCAGCCAGCCCAATGACCCTTATATCCTATTCCTATCATCCTATGTCAGCCAGGGCAATTTACACTTCTACAAACCATGGTCTAGAATCAAGAGACAAACAGGAAATCCCTTTCTTATTAATGTATCTGTCTTCCTCTCACCCGTAGCCCCCCAACTTACATACATTCAATGATAATCAAGTGGCAGTTCATATATTAGCATTCCCATCAGATATGAGCAATGACATTGAATGAATCAATTATGAGAGTCCAAGTAGGCATTCAACTTGGGTGGGCTAAAAATTTGAAGGGCCCGGCCCAAGCCCAACAGTCAAATGCAGTGTGAAATTGTTTGAATTCGCATCCGCGCCCTATAGAATGCCTCCCACGTACACGGTACACCCCACAGTACATCCCAACCATGTTGGGAACAGAACATCTCCCATGACAAGTATAGAAAATATTCTCAATGTGCGTATGGGGTGCCAATCTGAAGTCAAATTCTTCAAGTTGAATGAATTGGAAAATGAATAAAATAGAGGAAAAGTATTACCGGCCCCTTGCAAAACAAATAAAATAAAATAGAGGAAAAGTATAAACCATGCCTCTATTAGTAATTGGAAAATGAAAAGGCATGAATTTGTAATTTATAACTGTCATTTTATTCCCAAAAGAAATACTAATCTTACACAGATTTCTAACTCACAATTAATAAATAGACAAAAATTATACAAAAAAAAATACTCTAGATAGAATTAAAAAGAAGTGATGAAATGAAGGAAAACTAATACTTTCTTTGAAGATTATGTTGAATAGGAAAACAAATCGAATCAGATCTGATACCCACCTTATGCTCCCAACAGGCCACTGAAGCTGCACATTGGGCCCATGAATGAGAAAGAAGATGTTCCCAATGTACTGCTGCAATGACCTGTTGGGATGGTATTGGGAGCCATTGTTAATAGCAGATCCCTACTCAAACAAATCATATTCGTAGCTGGTGTTTGGCTATAACCTGGAAAATAAATCTTTTCATAGTTGAGGAACATATGAGTGTTGCAAAAACCAACCTTGTCTGAAAAATGAATTAAGTAATGTCATTTTCCTCCTAATATTCACTTTTGAAAAGTGTCTGTCCTCCATGCTACCATTTTTCCTACAATCAAACACCATAAAATAGCAAATTTCCTGGAAATCATTTTTTTTCCTTTATTTAGGTGCAAGCAAACAGGAGCTTCATATCATCCGATACACCATTCCACCACCCAAACAAAAATAGGTATACCTTCTTCTATAGGCATATGGATTAAGAACACCCTGTTACTGGCTTGAAAGTTGTCTTTGAGGAATGACTTAATCCACCTTTTTGCATAAAAAAAAAAAAGACCAAGTTTGCGTAATAAAATTCCAAGTATTGCCATAACCCAGTAAACCCTAGGTAGGCTGAGTGAAAATTGAAGATTTCCTGTTGAGGGAGTAGGATGAGTTTGGGCTTGTTTTAGCCCTGTCCGGCCCAGCCCAAGTCAAAGCCCTAATTGGCCCCCCTGCACAGATTCGTTCAGGGTGGGTCACTTACATTCCCACGCCATGAATCAGCATGCTCTGATAATTAATCTCAACATGCATCCTTGGACATGAAAAACACAGCGGAAGAAACCCAGTAAAGTGGAAATGCAATACTGCAATTCATTCACTAGATGCTGATCACAAAATCTGGGCAAATCGAACATTTGTCGAATGTTTATTAGGAAGATGAGACCCACTCAGCCCTGAACATAGCACAGAAACAGAAGGTTCAAGCGTTGCACCCTCACCACGTGGTCTCATTTCTCAGTCGGTCAGTCCAACTTACACACAAAAGACCCAGAATAATATTACTGTGGATGTGATTGGACGGAAAAGTGAAGTAAAACCACCGATGAATGAAACAGAGAAATCAGGATTCATGTAAGGAGTTCCTTCTCTTGGAGACAGACTAGCCATGAAAAATGATGCATGAATAGAGATAGAAGGGAATGAGTTTAAGTTATTACCTGCCAATGAGTCAAGCAAGGTGGATTTGCCAGACCCAGAAGGACCCATTATGGCCATGATCCGCCCAGGTTCTGCACACCCACTAAGCCCATGAAGCAACCTCTTTGGCCGGCCATTGCCAAAGTTTGGCAGGACGACAGTTAAATCTTCCCAAACCAAGCACATTCCCCTCTCCTCTTTGCTGCCTGAGACACCAGTCTCCGGCCCGGCCACGGCCACGGCTACGGCCGCACTAACTGCTTCAACCTCCATTTCTTACTACCACCACCCCAGAAGATCAGCTGATGAAGTGCTCTTTTCCAGTGCTGAAGTAAGAGGAAAATAAGGGCGAGGATGTTGACAAGCTAGAGGACGCAAACAGAGTTCAATCAATCTCCCCTGGGGCCACTGATGGCTTTCGTCAGACCTTCTATTGAATGCTGCCATGGGTAGAACGCAGGGGTTGGTGATGGTTCTAGTCAGAATTGATTACATCTCTTCCTTTCTTTTTTCCTGCTCAGAGTATTCATTCAACCGGGAGGAATTGTTGGTTAGTAGTTTATAATGTACGGGTGCATACATGTGCATAGCAATGAATGACATGTTATATTACTTTGCATCTCCTTTTGACTCTTTCTAATACAAATTTGAAAACCGATGCAAAATCTTTAACAATTGAGAAATGTTGTGTTCCCAATACCAATAGCATACTCCCTCATGACAAKTGACTTGTGCAAGAGCTCTATCTGATCTACTGGAGATCGGTGCTCATCAGTGTTGGGTGGGCTCCACTGACAATACACAGAGTTGATCTCAGTGTCATTAGAGTTGATATTAATGGAGCATTCTGTGGTTTAACACATTTTAAAAATTTTCAGACTATATCCATGATTCATGATAAAGGGCTCTTGGCTTGCACAATCCACTTTATCTGTGCAAGAGCTTTCAGCAGGCTGGTCTGCTTGAGATTGGGGCTTGGTTAGGTGAACCCCACTGACACCGATAATACATTCAAAGTCGGTGTAGGTATTCGAATTAAAAAATAATAATAATAATCAAATCTTCTGATCGGTCTTTTATTTTCCCTTTTTTGGGTGTTAGTAATAAAGCTTTAGCCCTACAGAGGTCAGGTATATGCTTGACTTAGTCAATGGATTTATTTATTTATTAAATTTATTTTGCTCCATGAAACTACACAATGGGAAGTATGGGGCTACACATCGGGGGTATCCCATCCCATACCTTTTATCACCCTCGAAACCCTGATGGCATCAGGATTTGATGTTAGGTTTCCTCTCCCCTACCATTAGCAAGAGAACCCACCAATTACTGTATCATCAGTTGGTGACTTAGTCAAATGGATTAATGGGATCAGTGACATTCATGGTGTATATGAGTTCCACCGCCACAACTAACATGGAGAGCCTGTTTTTTGTAAGGTTTGAACTCGTATYCACCAGTGGATTTCATAAATCAATATTTGGGTAAATTGCTGAAGTCTCCGACTGTTGCTGAAATCTTTCCTTTTTTATAATTTCAATCATATATTCAAAACTTTCTAATACAATTATAAGTAGAATCTTTTTGTTATAATTCACAAAAATGTCCAGAATACTCGTATAATTACTATTGAGACTGGTTTCTATGAAAAAATAGTATAAATTTTATAAACAACAAAAATATAGAGAATTTAAAGTTATAGCTTTATCTTTGAGCGATTGATATGAAGCGTAAATTTTAAAAATAAATAAAATCAATTTTAAAACAGAGATTGGAAGGGTTTGGGCTAGTAATTATTATGAAGAGAAAATTTGGAAAATAAATATTTTTGTCAAAAGTAACTCTATGAGTATTTTGGACATTTTCCTATTACTTTGTTAGAGGATTTTAGCAAAAAGAATCTACTTGCAACTATGTTAAAAAGTACAGGAGAGATGATTGTAATTACCAAACTTTAGGAGAGATTTATACAACGATCAAAAACTTCAGAGGAGGTTTCAGCAATTTACCCTTAATATTTTGGTAAATGAGTCTGAATCTATTGGCCACAATACACTAGCCACATGTTTGCCACAAGGCACTACATCTGCACATCCAGAGATCTTCCATGAATGACAGCGCGTTATCGTCACCGGACTCGGAGTCTCAGACCCAACCAAACCTTAGGTGAAGTGAGGATTCAATTCTAATTCTCCGCTAAAACCAACCGAAAGCCCTACCAACAAGCTAGTTGGTACTTGGTAGCCAGCTGGCAACTTCCATTTTGCATTTTAACTTGTAATCCATGCATGATAAAGAGATTTTTTTGGGGGAAATTAATGACTTTATTTGTACAAGTTCTCTTTCCTTTTTGAAGCAAGCAAGGCACATTAAAAAGAAGAAGAAAGCATTTAAAAGGCCCATTTCTACAGGATAAAATTGGCCCACTTTTTATTTGGGAGTGTTCAACAATATGGTTGGTTTCGTTTTTGTAACTTGGGATTAGCCAATCCAAACCAAATGATTTCATAAAAAATTTTGGTAGAAGTGGTCATTAATATTTCACAAGGAACAAACTCATAACGCAAGTTTTTAAAAACTTGACCCATTTCATACATGGAAATTTTGGTAGACTTGACGTCAATAATCTGATTTAATTAAATTAAAGTCTCTTTTTAGAGCTGTTAATAGATCGAGTTTACCTAATCAAACAAATTATCCTAGTTCTGATTCTCTGGTTTGGGTTCCGAGATTTGATTTTTCTGTTCAAAGCAATTATATAATTACTAATATGTAAAGGCCTCTTGAATTTTTTAGTAATTTTTATTATATTTTATGTCGAAAAAGATAAATTTTATACAGTATATAAGATAATTTTGATTAAAAACATTTATTTTATCAACATATAAAGAATTAATTATTTACTGCCATCTTTATTAAAGTTATATAATTAAAAATGAAGTATCATTCCAAGTTATTATCATAGATTATTATAGATGTGAAATATAATGGGATCTCACCAGATTATTCCAATTAAAAATTGGTTTGGAACTAGTCCACCCTGTCCGCACTTGTAAAATTTTATTTTAATACCGTAGAAAAATCCTTCATAAATGTTGCTCACCTAGAGTTGTAATGTACCCTCATGAGACCACTTGACATAGGCTGCAACATTAAAGAAAGCATTACTGTTTTTCAACACAGGGTGCATAGTAACATTTATAGCCCAAATTCCTAGAACCTATATGCTACAATAGTCTTACARTATCCTTCTACATGTTTCAGATACATAGAATTTGGATATTTTATAATTGTTTATTTATTGAATTGATGAGTTCAATTCATGCTCCTTAGGCTGCGTTTGAAAACAATGTAAATGGAGTGTAAATCTTGGTTCAGGGTAAATTTGCACTCAGGATTCACTTTTGCCTCTACTTGGCAATATTACATTTATGTATTGATAAATGACAGATCAATGTATATTTACATTGATAATAAGATGTAAACGTATATCAATAAAAAAGAAGTAAATTTACATTCAAGTGGGCTTTTGATAAAAAAAAAAAAAAAAAACATATGCTTTATTGGAATTCATGTTTGAATCTATTACAACTAAAAGTTGGTTTGGTAAGAAGATAAATTTGTCATCAGTGCAAAACTAACCCAATTTTGTAATTTATATGAACCGTTTTACACTCTACATATTTGCATTCACACTTATTTGCATCGTTTCCAAACACAGCCTTACTTTCTTGAGTGAGTTGAATTTCCAAAACTTTAATCGGTTTGGTTGCTTCCTTATGACGAGTCCGGATCTGCTCCTCACACTAACCTCACAACATGTCCTGACCGCACATCGAGAACATCTCCCATCCTTAAATTAATTATTTATGGGGAGATGTTCCCAACACAGGGTGGGATGTGGCTGTGAGGATAGTGTAAGGCGTGCAATGTGAAGAGGAGAATCCAATTCCCTTATGACCTAGGTGATCAGGTTTAAAATCTTGGTAACAACTTCTCTGCAGGTGTAAGGTTGCCTATATCTGTACTTCCCCAACCCCTATTCAATGACATCAAAGTCAACAACAAGGGCAAGTTATGGAGAAAGTTGATTCTCTTCTTGTTGGATTGGATTGGATTGATTTGATCATTTATACTAGTTTGGATCCATTGATAATCCAATGCAATTTAAACACTTATTTTTATTGTTTTGATTCTAAACCTTATTTTATTAGCTTTTATATAGTCCACTCCCCTTTACAATTTTTTATTGATTCCCCAAATGTATTTATCCCCTCTTATAAATACATTAGAATTTATGAATGTATGTATCCCCTTATTTTTTAATGTATTTATCACTTATGTATTGATAAGTGAATAAAAAGAAGTAAACGTATTTATCCCCTTATTTTATTAGCTTATGTGATCCCTTGACACCGACCCAAACTGTATGAATGCATTAGAATTTATGAGAGGGACTGAACCATTAAAACCCCTATTTTATTCACTTATATGAATTCACATCAGCACCCAACAACACATCTCAATCATGCATTGGAAACATCTCCAATGACAAGTAGGGGTGGCCACGAGCTGAGCTTCTCACGAGTTATTCGAGTTCAGCTTGGTTCGGTTTAAATCGAGCTTCGAGTCAAGCTCGAACCCAGTGAAACTCAGCTTGTGAGGCTCGTAAGCCTAATCGAGCCTAGTATAATAAATAAATAATTTTTTATTATATACATACATACATACATATAAATATATAAATGTATATGTAATAAATAATTTTTATTATATATTATAAAATTTTTATTTTTTATGTATAATAGAAAATAATTTTTAAAATTCTTATTTTTTTGTATGTAAAATAAAAACATTTTTATATATAAAATAAAAAAAAATTATACATATTTGTATATGTATAGGTTTTATGTTTTAGAAACGATAATGACTGTGCAGACGACGTGAGATGGTTTCCACGGATTACTGTTTGCATAACAATTAATTTTTCAAATCGTCATCAAAGCTTTCTTTCTTAGCTACGTATTTGTATATGTATAATTTTTATGTTTTAGAAACGATAATGATTGTGTAGATGACGTGAGATGGTTTYCACGAATTACTGTTTGCATAACAGTTAATTTTTCAAATCGTCATCAAAGCTTTCTTTCTTAGCTAGGTTCTGGAGAGGTTCTTGTATATCCAGGGTTCATGCAAATATGGGAAATATGACAACATGGCTGTATCAATTCAAATACAACGGATCATCGGCTCCTCCGTCCAGGGTTCATGCATGGTCTTTCATCTTTGCAGTGGGGAAGGAGATAATCTAGTTTGATTGAAAAAGCAGTTTCTGCATATGGGAAATTCTATGCATTAATCAACCTAATTAGATATAACTAGTTCGTATCCATGGA